TGTTTTTATTTTAATTAAGTGAATTGTTTTGAGTTTGGTAATTCTTCTTTATTACCTTCGAACTTATTTCTCTTGTAAATTTTATTTTTGATGTTATAAAGGAGGGTTAAATATGTGAATTAAGATGAATTTATGATCAATTTTAAGGCGTTACAATAATTGAGTGACAATTATTAATTTTGCCGGAAATAGCAAGAGCCACAAATATGCTTGTTTCTAAGGTGGATTTAATGACAATAATAAAGGCCGCTAAAAGTAATTACTTTTAGTGGCAATAATAAGGGTCTTTACCAGCACTCGACATAAATGTCACTAAAGGCATTAGCGACATTGGATCCAATGACATTTAATTAAATGCCGGTAAATGTATTTGTGGCAATAAATATTGCTGCTAAAAGGAAAATTGATTGCCGCTAAAGGTCTCTTTTGGTGCAGAGTTTTAAAAATATAGTTTTAATATTGATTTTTGGTCTTCACTCTCTCAAACATAGTGAAATACACTCACTTTGCCACGTAAATAATTAAGGAGATAATAACTTCAAAATAATAACACATATTTATGAAGACTTCAGGTGTATGAACTCATCTACAATGACTCTCTTGTTTCCGATGGAAACTGGGGAAGTAGCACTCTTGTTGAGATCATATCTGTCTTTTGAGCCGAAGAATTCTTCACCAAGTTGACTCTATGGCTTTTGTCAGGCCTATAAGTGCTTGATATGGGGTTCACTCAAGCTCCCGAGGCTTTGACATATATAGCTCAACAGTGGTGGAGAAGCTCCATCAACGTCGTTGTTCGCTTGAGAAGATGAAGATGATCCGTCGCCATTTCTAGGTCCTTCATTTTCAAATTGAGTTGTTGTTTTTTGTTCCCTTTTGTTCTTTTCTTGTTTGGATTTGTTATTTGTTGGACTTAGGTCACTTTTGGGCCTAAGTTATGTTACTTTTTATTAGGGAAATTTTACACAAAATTTCATAGTGTTAAGAGTTAATTACATCTTATCCTTACTCTTTCAAATTAAAAAAAACTCTTAAATTTGGTGGAATCCGAATGCATCCCCAAACGTTCTCAATACATCACGTCTCAGTTTTGAATACATCGATCAACATCCCGATACATTACGTCTCGATTTTGAATACATTACTCAACGTCCTGATACATCATGTATGTTCTGATACATCGTGCAAAGTAATGTATCTGATCGATACATTGCATAAAGTGATGTATCCGACCGATACATCGTGTAAAGTGTTGTGTCTGAGAATAAGAGAGTAAGAATTTTTGTAATTTTTTCAAATAGTAAGAAATTTTAGAGAATATGGTAAAATAAGTTGTGTCTTTAGGTAATTTTTCCTATTATTATAAATAAAATGGGCTTGCCCGTTAAGCATCAAAAAATATTATTCAATTTTAAATAGTTCAGGGGTAATAGGACCCCCCATGAAGTAAAAGTATGTATATTGGGATCAATCCGGCAATAGGTTAGGGGCTCATTTGATTATTTATTCAATAATAAACTCAAATTAGTTATTGAATTAAAGAAGGCAGAAGAAAAACAATGAGAAAAATGATCATATATACTCCTATATCGATTTTATTTTAATAAAAAATTTAAAAATAAATTTAAAATCATTTTTTTCACTTCCGTTAAACGAAAAGTGGAAATCTGGGTCATTTATGTAACTGAAGGGTCTATGTGAAACTTTTACAACAAAGATATATGAGCTCTTCATATTCCTTATATTATATGGGAAATGGTCATATTTACCCCTGTAATCTAAAAAAAGGGTTATATTTGTCCTACTTTTTTGATATTTTGCTCCTACCATCCAACTTTAGGCACATATTTGCCCTTGGACCATTAATGTCATGTTTTTCACTTTTATCATTGTATGTGACACTTACGTGGCATGCCTACATGGATATAATTAATTAAAGAGAAAAGGCATAAAGTGACACCTGAAGTTGTTCCGAATTTTCAAAAAGACACCTAAACTATGCAAATGTCTTATTACCCCCCTAAGCAATCCTGAACTGATATTATTACATCATTTTTTGTCCACCTGGCATGGAGAGTGTATGCACTCTCTTAAAGAGCGTGAACAAACTAAAAAACGAATATAATTTTATTTTTACAAGTATTTTGCTATAAAATTATTTTCTTGTTTTTCTTATTATTTTTACTTTTTCTCGTTATTATTTTTTTTCTTTTTCTTTCTTCTTTCTTCAAAAATTCATTATCATCTTCATTGTAGCTTCTTACTTTCAATGTCACTTTTTACCACAACTCCACCTCCCTTTTTTACCACTATTAGTTTAACTCTCTTCAATTTTTAAAATTATATCTAAAAATTTTATTACATTTCAAACAATTTGATAAACCCATTAGATTTCACGATGATTAGTAGGTATTATTTAATTTTTTTAAAATCAGAATTTCAATTAAACTTTTTCAATTTTCGGAGAATTTCGATTCTTTCAAAATTATCATTTCTAGTTTTGAAGTTATATGAAAATGAGATAAATTAATTGATGATACATTCAAAATTTTGATTTTTCTTAGAAAAATAATTAGTTTTGTTATCAATAACACAAATTCTAGAAAATAGTATAATTTTGGAAAGAAAGGAATTTGACCGAAGAAGAAGAAGGAAAAACAAAGAAAATGAAGGGCTCAACTTGACGTGGGGGTGGGGTGAAGTGAGAGTGGGAGGTGAAGAAGAAGAAAGAAAGAAAGAAAATGGAGGGAGGGGTAGCTTGAAAGTAGTGGTGGAAGATGAAGTAGAATTTAAAATGAAATTAAAATTAAAATAATAAAATTAAGATAAGTCAAAAAGTAAGAGAGAGAAATAAAAAAAAACTTAAAATGAAAAAAAAAATATATTTCAAATTAAATTAACACATGTCACGCAATGATTAGTGTGTGATAACACTTGCCATTTAAAATCTGGAATTGATTGAAAAATGATGTAATAATAAATTATCGGAATTGTTTAAGGGGCTAATAGGACACCCGCATAGTTAAAATGTCTTTTTGAAAATTCGGGACAACTTCAGGTGTCACTTTATGTCTTTTCTCTTAATTAAATGAGGTTAACTATGGTAAGCTCTTCTCTTAATTCTTTTAAGAAAACGGAAAAAGGGCCTAAAATATCCCTCAACTATGCGAATTGGTATAAAATTACCCTTCTTCTGCCCTTGACGTCAACCTTTTGACTCTATTTTACCCTTATCTTTAACAGCCAAAATAATAACCTCAATTAGCAAATTCGTTTATGACGTGTCGCTGTCCTATTGGCTACCCTAAGAATTAATTAAACTAATTAATAAAACTAAATACCCACCCAAAAGCTCCACCCATAACCCAAATATTCTAACCGAAATCTTTTAATCCAAATACCTTAATAATGATCTTACGCTAGCAGATCAATGCCAACTTTTCCCCTGTTTGTCCAATATAATCCTCAAAATTGGACCACCATTATACTCATTGGATCATAAAAACATTTAAAAACTCTTAAACAAAGTTGAACAGTTGATGGTCCTAAGCAACAGGTCATCTTGGTCCTAAGCAACATGTCATATTCTGGAAAACAAGTACTTAGTAAAGAGTTCTTCATTGAATATCTCTAGTTTTTTTCCTCCTAATCCCAATACCTCCACGTCCATAATCGAAGCTTCAACTGGTAAGAACCCCTGAATAGAAGCTTGTATGGGTTAGAATATTTGGGTTATGGGTGGGGATTTTGGGTGGGTATTTAGTTTTATTAATTATTAGAATAGCCAATAGGACAACGACACGTCATAAATGAATTTGCTAATTGAGGTTATTATTTTGGCCGTTAAAGATAAGGGTAAAATAAAGTCAAAAGGTTGACGTCAAAGATATTTTAGGCCCGAAAGATAGAAGAAGGATGATTTTATACCAATTCGCATAGTTGAGGGGTTATTTTAGGCCCTTTTCCATTAAGAAAATAACCAAATCTCAGTTTGATCGGTTCAAATCGCAGAAGAAATATGACTAATTGTGAGTTCAAATTGTAGAAGAGAGCCAAACTCTCACCATGGCCTAAAGAAAATTCATTCCAATGAATTTCACAACCCAAAATAATTTCTCTCTTACATGAACAGAAGTATTCTTGACTTTAAATTAATTTTTGGGTTAGTACAATTTGTTGAGGTCTAATTGCATTTTTGTATTCATGATCCTCAGTTTATCTTTTTTTATTTTTTTTGTCAGAATTCTCAAGATTTTAAAATAAATTCTTCTCCTAGTCTTCTTTTTAAAATTAAGCCAAGGAGATTAACACAGAACATATGACAGGTAAAAGGAGCAAAAAGGTGTTCATCCAGCATATGAAGAATGAGAAAACGAAATAAAGTCTTATTTAATTTGAAGAAGAGGATTAATTTTTTGTTGTTGTTGAAGCTAAAGATTTATACATGGGCATATTGACGATTTATCTTGGAAGATATGATTGAAAAGAGAAATTATTTCTACGTAACCAGAGGAGAAACGAGTTTACCATGGTTAATCTCAATTAATTCAAAAGCTATACTTGAGAAAATAGAGAGATTAAGCATGGGAGGGGAGCCTCCTCCTGAAATAAGTACTGGACGTTTGGGTTTTATGGGTTAAATGGGTGGGTATAATAGTGGTTTGGGAATAATAATAAATTAGGAGAAAATTTTAAATGAAATTAATATATATATACACACACACGTAGGCGCCACATAGGATGATAAAAGTGGAAACCAGAGCAAATGAGTGCCTAAACTTATATGGTAGGGGCAAAATATATCAAAAAAAAAGTATGACTAAGGGAATATTATAATCCTTTCCTAAGATTACAGGGGTAATTATGACACTTTTCCATATATTATATAACATTAATGTCTCTCAGCTACTCACATACAACAATAACAATATATTCAAACGTAAACCCACAAACTAGGGTCTGAGAGCCTTTTACCTACATACTGATAATACATCACGAGTTTAGTTGAAGGCGCATAACAGAAGAGCGTACACAAGGAAAGACATGCAATCGATGACAACAACAGTAATGGCGAGACCAACTGAATGTGCTAAAGTAGCATACATACCAGTTACAAAGGTAATTACAACTGCTGACATCGCGAAAAGCTGCAGTAACATTGCCTTATTAAAAAGCACACGCATAATTTTTATTTTTGTTGTGGCTGTTGCATTTGCTGCAATGAAGAAGTAGCTGAATACAGCACCAGCGGAACATGTAAAGGCGATGGCATCCGAAACAACAAATGCACGAAATGCTGTGTTTCTTGCTAGAATCACCAACCCTTTATAAGGGCCACTGGGATCACTCTCAAAACCTCCTGGTAACATGAAACCGACTGCAAAGGTAACCGTAACTAGTAAAGTAGCCACAACTAGATGTATTTCAGTTGCCGCCATAATATTTTCCAGTTCGCTTTTCTTATCATTTTTGGCTTTGTTCTCGCTTGACTCCATTTCATCCTCTTGCTCTTGCATTTTTTGTTTCTTTTTTATCTCAAAGTGACGGCGTCCCGATCGACCATATTGAAGGTTCTGCTTGAATAAATATTTCTCCTATTTTCATCATGACTAGTTGAGTTAATATATAGTGGAAGAAAATGTAACTTCAGTAGCTATATTTCAATCAAATACGTATTGATATTACTCATATATATACCATATATATGGAACGCAACTCAGACGCTCCATAACTAGTAAGTCTATATGTATATTTAGTTGGGTGAGAATTAATTACCTAAGTCACGGAATTGACAGCAATTTAGATAAATGAATCACAAGTTGTAATTCACATCAGCAGGTCAAGACTCTGAACATAATGAATTAACATATCCTCGTACATGCTGTAATACTTAAGGTGAGTAAGTAGCAGGTACGTACCACAGCTGTTGTCTCTGTGCCAGACTTTTCTATGTCAAGCGGAGTTTGGTTTTCTTTGTTAAATAACATCTTCTTTGTATGGGGATGTCCTATTAATTGTAATGGCACATATAGATATTTAGAAGACGCAAGCAATTGGAGAGGAGTGTTGCCATCATTATCTGCCTCGTCAATAAGGTTATGTGATTCCTTATCATTCAATAACAATCTGACTACTCTGCTCTTATCGTTCGATATGGCAACATGGAGAGCATTTTGGCCACTGCTGTTAAGCATTTCCCAGTAATCTGGACACTGCTCTGATACTGCATTTATCACGTCTACATAACCTTCACTGGCTGCAATGTGAATTGATGTCGTCCAGTCATTTTCCTTGCATGCTCGAGTGTAGGCTAACGAGTTATCCCGCTGCACCATATTACAAACTACTCCTGTCAATCCTTGTTAGCAGCATAATGCAATGGATTCCAACCCCATTTGTCTAATTCCTTCCATAACGATTTATCCAATTGCAATAGTGATGTCACACAACCTAGATATATATGTCAAATATTGAAAATTAAAAAAAGAAACCAGAAACTGTGGCCTGATGCATGAAGCGTCCAACATAGGTAGCCTAACCTGACACAAGTTTCCGTGGCTAAGATTTCACGGCTTGAATCCGTGATCTACAGGACACACATAGACAACCTTACCACTGCCCCAAGGCTCTCCACAAACGTCTCAAATATTATGATAATTAATTCATCACAAATTATGAAATCATTCAAAAGCTCCTAATCAACTTTACACTAACCGCATGTGTGGATGAGCTTATAGCTTTTGGCTTATTTTTGCTTCTTTTTTTTGGCTTGAAAACGAGTGCTTAGAAGCATTTTACTATTTTACCGAACAATAACAGTGCTTAAAAGCACTTAAACAAGTCAATCCAAACAAGCTCTAATTATTTATTCTTTAATTGTCTTCCTCTTCCATCACTTCAAATTACTCTTAAGAGTCATTTAAAGAGAAATTAGCAGAAGATTATTCTTATATTTTAAAGGGTAAATTTATATATTGATGACTTCAAATTCAAGCATTTGAAAGGAATAAGCTGAAAAGATCCCTCTCAAATAAATTCATTCAAGGTATAGACTCTCATTATTTCCAAAGTAATTTAAATGTTTGCCACACATTAATGACGTAAAACACATTTACAAAATCAAGTCAATTAAAAAGTAATCGTAGGTAATTCTATAAAATCTAGCTTCAAGTTACCCGTTTCAAAATAAAATCTAGCTTATATTTACCAACAATGTGAAGATTTCTTACACTGTCAAGTCAATCAAAGATCATCTGGTAAACCTCTAATAAAAGTGGAATTTGGAATCTTGAAACAAGACAAGTTATGTGCTACGATAGGTAAAAGTGAACTGATAGTGAAAATTCTTAATAGTATCGGTAAACTCAAAATTCTATATAATAAGCAGAGATTGGTGACCTTGAATAAATAGTTAACTGACAAGCTATAAGTTAATTTAAAGTTTACACCACTAAATCAATTTAATGAAGTAATTAATTACCCATATGTTTCTGGATGATTGCCGCATGCAAAGGCGTTCAATCACATGGACCGCAGTGTGTTGGTGTCTTGCAGTATTTCAAAATTTCCGACAAACAGCTAAGAGAACCAGACTCGGCCACCAGATAGAGTGGTGTCTCCCCTGCATTGTTTGGTGGGAACTTGAATTCAGGATCGCTGAGTGTGATAGTGTGTACACATCCAGTCCTCACTGCCTTGTGCAGGGCGGTATCTCCATTGTCATCTGTCATCCTCATGAGTGTCTCCTTATTGTTCCTCTCACTCTCTCCACCTACTACGCCAAGTAGCACCCTCACCACATCTGTGTGCCCTTTATTAGCTGCTAAGTGAAGTGCAGTTTCATTTTTATTGTTGGTGAACAGAAACACGATTTACAGAAGCTACTAGAAGAGAAGAGAGTAGAATTCTATTTATGAGCTCACAAGGCTAACTTGTACAATAGCATGAACATGTATTTATAGTTGTTTATGTAACTAACTATTGGAAGAATTAGTTATAACAACTTTTAATAGAAAAGACTATACTACCCTTAATCATTCTAACCACCTTTTAACTACTTAACAACCAACTACTCTGATGAAGTCTCATTACTCCCCTTCAAGCTAGGAGGGGTAAAAATTGGTAAAGCACAACAATTCAAAAGTAATATTGTTGCTTTGTTCCAAATAACCTGATTGTCCATAGAGGGCTGCAACATGGAGGGCTGTGTTGCCCTTTGGAGTGACCTGGTACTCATTTCTTTCATCCCTTATCACATCATAGCAAGTAGAAAAGCACCACCTCCTGTATTACCTTGCTTAGCAGCAATGTACAACGTTGGGTTCATTATTCGCCCAAATTATGATCTTTGCTTTCTTAGGGTGAAACTCTTAACTTAGTCTTTGTTTAAGAACAACAAAAATACTATTACAAATTTCAGGGTCATCCAGTTCACATGGTTCCAAGTCAACTTGTATTATTATTACATTGATTGATTTCGAAAGTCTGATCAACAACCGCATAGAAACATCTCTTTTCCAAATTTAAAAAAATGAAAAAAAAGAAGAAAAGAATGAAGAAAATTTTAACAGTGACGAACAATATACTAATTAAAAGTGAACAAACCAAAAAGAAGAGGACTTGTAATATTTATAAAAATCATTTGTACTGATCGAGTAATGCCATACTGGTCCATCAACTTGCAAAATTATTTGTATATATACATATCTTAACTAATGAAGTCTTCACTGAGTCGAACCCGCTTCCTTCATTGCTTAAGAGAAATACAGAATTTGAATGAAATTACTTGCTCTGCCTAACCCGCTTCCTACACTATAGCTCCACCCCTGCTTATCAATTGCATCTTTGTTATTTTGCTAAGTTTGCCATTAATTTGGGTTTGTAAGTTCTTCATAAACAATTGTTGTCATCCACATTGATATTCTTTCAATTTTACAACAAAAACATACATTCCCAGTGTGATCCCACAAGCGTGGTGTGCGGAGGATGGGGGTGTACACTGACCTTGTAAAGTAGACACAACTCTGTATAAAAGTTCTATAGAAAGTTTGAGATCACAAGGCTCAGTATTCTTCATAGAATTGAACTCATAAGATACCTAGAAATTATATGCAACATATCTTTATTGAACGTAACTTAATCAGAAGAATATCAAATACATTGCTAGCTGCATCTTTAGAATGATGAAATCTTATTGTCACACAATAAATCTGTTCAGATTATCTCTAGGCCTTTTTTTTAGGAAGAAGAATCATAAAGCAGACCATATAGAAAGAGATGCCGTCGATAACGCATACAGTAACGGCAAGACCAACTGAATGTGCTAAAGTAGCATACATACCAGTTGCAAATTTATGATCTTTGGTAAGTCCTTTGCTTTCTCTGAATGAAACATTATATAGGAAAACTATTAGACTCTTAATGGTGAAGTCTCTGCTGAGTCTTTCTTTTTAGAATAGAACTATACAAGGCAATTTGGAGGTACATTGTGGGAGGTAATAGGTATCTGGTAGAATTAGTTGAGGTCCAAACATCATGGTCATATAAAAAAAAAGATACTAGTTGTAGGTAGAAATTATGAATTTGGAGGTCCTCGATCTCTTTCTTTAGTGATGATGTTATCATTAGCAACATTCAGCTCTATACTATAAATAAACATCAAAAAACACTCAAGTGTGGAGAGAACTGAGAGGTCGGTGCGTAAGAAAAAATAGTTTGTGAGGAAAAATAAAGAGAATGAACAATGTTATCATAAGATGTTTAAATTAAAAGTGAATTAGAGTATTTATTTTGAGTATTGTACTCGTCACTATAAGGTGTAACATTTCTCATTATGGTGGACATGAGCGGTTCAATACTTTTGATGGCCTAAAATTGAATTTCGAGGGAAGGTCCTAATTTATTTAAAATCTATTTCCTGCCGTTCTTCGCAGCATTATACAATATTGGATCCATTAATTATTTTTCTGATTATCAAATTCACTCAAAATATGGATTTGTGAGTCCTTTGGATGAAACATTATTATCTATCATATCAAGCTTGTTAAGGTAACATGAAAAATAGAATAATAACCTCCTATAATAGAGTAAATTGAATTAATAATGTATACTTGAATCATGTTAAGTATTTTTTTTTTGGATGAAGAAACATATTAAGTTATATATACACTTGTGAATTAAATTGTTATAGTAGCATGTTAGTTAACTACTTATTCAAAGTTACCAATCAATATTTTTGCTTTTGCTTTTCCTTTATTAAGCTATGACCAAACAAATTGTCTTTCTTCTTTTTCTTTTTGTCTGTCATGGGTTTATCAGTCTGCCATGGAATTTCTTGTTGGAGGGGACTTTTTTTAGCAATGTAAAGTCCGACATAACATCCTCGTCTATCTCATCCCGCATACTAAAAGACCCCTTAATCTCTAAGCTTGTATGGAACTTATATCAATCTAAATTAGTTATAGATGAAACTTACCTATCCCTATCCCTTTTATTTCCTTATGGGATTCTCCTTTGACCAACATTTTCTACTCAAACTACCTCGTATAATGTCTCATAATTTAGACATATAACTCTATTTTAGATATTTGAATTATTTTAGGGCAGGACGGGTCTTTATAGGGAGGGGCGCGACAGGGCTAATTTTCAAGAAATACTAAATGGGGCAGGGCAGGGCGTGCTCTACCCTGTCCTACCCTACCCCGCTCCAATTGCCATCACTACGTGCAATAACTTGTAAAGTAGGCCCAACTCTCGATACAAGATTTATGGAAAGTTTGCGATCACAAGGCCCAATATTCGTTATGGGAATCAGACTGATAAGTACATCATCTATGTAGGGACTTCAGATAGCAAAAAGATACAATTGATCAAAGCTGGAAATATTGTCCAACATCAAACACATTGCTTCATCTTTAGAACATATGTTTCAACTTTTTGGAAATGTGCTGCTGATTTTCCGGTTTGGATTTTGTAGATCACTGAGTAGTATATGTTTAGGAAGGGGAATAGGAACAACATCCGCCGGTCACATGGTGAAATGGGAGCCAATAAAAGCCATTATGGTTTTGTTTAAGTTTCATCTGTAGATAATTTGAGTTAACTACCAGATTTTTTGTTGTTCCAGTGAGGAAAGCTGAGAAAAGGCCCAAAATAGTCTCTATTCTTTGAGGTCGAGCACTAATAGTCGTCCATCTTACCAAAATTAGTGCACATTTAGTCATAAGTCACTGATTGTGACCATCTATAGATAACAGAGTCTCGGTCATTATCATTATATAGACTAGATCTAGAGAAAATAGGGTAATGAGTTGTTAGAATGAATGAGTGAGGTTGC